GCAAGGGGAACCATCCTGAGGCCCAGGTTGAGACTCTGCAGCTGCCATACAGAGACACTCAACACTCAAAAGCAAAGCAAGAAAAAACAACACACGGTGTACCGTCATTCTTACAATAATTAACAATACTCTCTGAGTTCACTCTTCTAGAGAAATAAGAAGACAAAGAGAGATAGTCAAAACAAAAACAAATAAGAATTAAAGAAATAGGTAATCAATGACAAATCCAGAAAAAACACCTAGAAGGAATCTAATTAAAAGAAAATAACAAACAGTACCCATTATTAAGCAGAAACACCCAATAAACAAATGGAAAGAAAAGATTCCAAAAGCACAATGAGAAGAACCAGAAAACATACAAATACGTTTCTCTGGATTCGCTTGGCAGGTTATACGCAATCATGATCATAGATGTATCTGTTACTCTTTTACCTTACTCAGCACAAAGAAGATCAACAAAATACTGCAGGGCAAAGCACACAACGCACCAGCAAACCACAACAGCAAAAAAAAACATATTAACCATTAGCCCAATTTACACAGAAAACACAGAAATACACCAACTATGGGTATAAGTCTATATGTGTGTATATACGCAATTATAAATATAAAATCATCTGTTATTATGATTTCCTTTTCCCACTGCAAAAAGCAGTTCATTATCATTATCATCATTACAGTGCAAAGCCCAGGTGCACACACAGAGAGTTTCCAAGAACACACACAATGGAGTAGCAATAATAATTATTATAGGATAAACACACAGAGAGCAACAAACACACAAAACACACATTAACATTAAGAAACAAAAAAAAAGAAGAGAAATCCCAACAGGTGAAAGATTAGTTAGACTGTAGTGTGGATGCATGCAAAAAAGAAGAAAAGAAAACAAAGGATGACCTGAGTCACACCATCACAACCACCACAATCAGTACACAAGAATACAGGCCATTGTAACCACAATCAGTAGTGGTACACGCACCCACACAGAACTGCTGATACTGCTGCTGCTGTCTGCATCACCCTTCTTGTTGTTTGTGAGTTCAGGCGGAAGTGTTGTTGTTGTTGTTGTGGTGGTGGTGGTTGTATCTGTATTTCCTGCACCTTCTTGGGTACTTGTTGACACACCCTCACTCCCTGAAGTGGCAGCGATACTCACATTGTTTGCAGCATCTGAACCCACTGGATTATCCACAGTTGAACTGCCAGAAGGAGTATCATCTGTATTTTGGGGTGTGGCTGCTGCAGGTTCTTCTGATTGTGAAGATTCAGTTGGTTTCCCTGTAGTATGTGTAGTACTGCTTGCATTACTTTGAGAATCATTTTTCTCGGCGTCTCCTTTATCGTCATCTGAAAGAGCATCTTTCTCTTTGGCAGCATTCTTAAGTTTTGTATCTTCTTCCTCAGTGTCTTTTTGTGATTGAACACCTCCCTGATTTGGCATGGCAAGATCAGTTGTTGTACCGCTGCTGACACTTTTCTCAGAGTTATGGCCATTTAAACCCTCTTGGCCCTTTTGCTGTTCTACATCCTGAATACCACTACCAGAAGAAATGGATGCAGAAGAACCTTTACCCGGAATATCTTGTTGACCTGGGGGACCAGCAGGACCAGCAGCAAGAGAAGGAGCAGCAGCAGCTTCTTTTGATTTAGTAGGGCAACGAGAATTAGTAGAACCACGTAATTCAAGATTGCAGTTATCAGCATTATCTTCAGAATCTCTAGGTTGAAGTTCTTCTGGTGGGGTGGTTCCAGACGCCACATATACGCAGGCAACACTCAGAAGCAAAGCCATAAAATACAACAGTCGGCCCATCAGCAACACGGAAAACAGTTACTTGTAGCGTTCAATGCACCCAAACTTGAGAAAAAAGAAAACAAGGAGATAAAGAGAAGAAAAAAAAGAATAAAGTACAAACACACACAAAAAGAAGGAACAACGGACACAAAGGAAAAACAATAACACATAAAAAACACAAGACAAGGTAACGAGCAGAAACAAAAAAGAGCCCAATAAAGCTGCACAACAAAAAAAAGTTAAAACGAAAACAAAAAAAAAACAAATTAATAACACGCCCAGAGGAGCCAGCAAACATAAAAAAAACTAATCTGTTGTTAGGATGGAGTAAAAACGCAATTATGAATGCATTTGTGAATCTGTTATTATTCTTTCACTCCTTAAAAAGCAAAACACAAAAAACGTTCAGGTCAAAACACACAACGCCCATCAAACAAAATGGAAACAAAACAAAGAAACAGAAATATACACCAACTATGGGTGTAAGTCTATATGTGTGCATATATGCAATTATAAATATAAATTAATCTGTTATTATTACTTCTTTTTCACACTACAAAAAGCAGATCATCATCATTACAGTGCAAGCCCAGGCACACACAGAGAGTCTCCAAGAACATACACACACATACAATGGAGTAGCAATAATAATTATTATAGGATAAACACACAGAGAGTAAAAACACAAACAAAACACATTAACATTAAGAAACAAAAAAAAAGAAGAAAAGCCCAACAGGTGGAAGATTAGTTAGACTGTAGGGATGTATGCAAAAAAAAGGAAAAGAAAACAAAGGATGACCTGAGTCACACCACAATCAGCACACAAGAATACAGGCCAGTGTAACCACAATCAGTAGTGGTACACGCACCCACACAGAACTGCTGATACTGCTGCTGCTGTCAGCATCACCCTTCTTGT